TGCTCAATAAATTCCTTGGCAGGAACAAGAAGATGAGCTTCCTGGAGAATCACGACATGTGCACGTAAAAAGAAGAGCATGTTGAAGAAAAGGTTGTTCTCAAATTGCTCATTCTGAAGTGACATGGCGCTCTGTTTGCATGGCCTCATTGCACTATCAAGTCCTTGGAGAAACCTTGGTGTGGTGTACTTCTGACCACGAACCATGTTGCCATAGTTCCAGGATAAAAATGTCAAGGACTCTGAGCTGGCCAATAAGTTAGTTCCATATGGTTCTTCTATTCTTCCTTTGAGGAACCTTCTGCACAGCTCTTCATAGAAGGTGACAAAGTCCCAACTGGGTCCCTTTGGACCATAGGATTCCAGCTCCTTCTTAAGTTCTTTCTTCGTATCCTCCAATTCTTCTCGAGCATGTCCTGCCCTTTCAAGGGCCTTTGGATCGACCTGATACTTGCCATCCAAATAAATGATGCGATCATCATTGATGAAGAATCTCTTCAAATCATGCTCTGGTTCATGTTCATAACAATCAGGTGGAGGTACTGGACAGATATTACGAATGGATCGAACAAAGTCATTCTCGTTGATCCTTGACTGATAATGAGGATGGGAAATCTCACCTTTTCTGAAACAAACATGGTTCAGCAATCTTGCGTGAGTTTCCCTGAAGCATAGTTGATAAAGGCCAATACCTGGATCTCCTGTAAGCTCTCCAAGCAACTTCAAAGGTGAAGTATGCAACTCATAGGTATTGTCAACTTTTGTTGTATCCTTTTCAACAACTACTTCAGATGGAAAAGATTCTTGGATTTCAGCCTCCAATTTCTTCTCTCCATCATCCTCTCTGACCTCTTTTATTTTCTCCACCGCCTCTTTCTTCTCTTCCATGGTTGCATCATCCTGAACTTCTTCATGAAAATGAGGATCAGGAATCTTATTCAGGCGGCTTTTCTTAGATTTCCGCTGACCTGAAGTATCATCAAGGTTAGCATCCATCTCACCTGATGGTAAGTGCGATGCAGTCGAGTCCCCACCTATCTCTCTTGACAGAAAGTGTGGTGTTGACTCTTCCTTGGCTTCCTCCTGGTCCACTTCCATCTTTGGTTCCTCTGAAGGAAAAACACCTGCATTCTCATCAAATATTTCTTCTTCCTTTCCAGGTTCAACTGCAGGATCTTCTTCAGGAACTTCCTCTTCCATATTCTCATCTTCTAGAAGTGTCCTACTTCCAGTATAGACTTCACCAACAATAGTGGAGACTCTTGTATAAGGAGGAACTTCTTCACCTGCTTCAAAAGCTTGTTCTGCAACATCCTTGGTGAGCAAGTCCTCTACAAGATTTTCTCCCTCGGTTCTTGGAAGAGGTCCTGAGGTCTCATAAAAATCTGTCCTCTCTGAACTGAAAGCTTCTGTCGCCTTCTCATTGTCCTTTTGATCCCTGAACAGGTGAGTAATCTTCACCGCTTCTCCCTGTAGCACCTGATCACCTCCTCTATACTTGTCGACAATGGAGCGCCATACTGGAACATCATCATCATCAAAATCAAGCTCCATATCATCTGCCAACAGGTATGAGATGTTTTGAGCTGCCTGTTCTTCTTCTTCATCACGTTCCTTGGCAAGCTCCTCATCCTTCTGGATCTTGAAGATACCCTTCAGGATGTCTTGTAGTACCTTTAAGTTCAGCTTCGATGATGGCTCATACGTCCCTGAACTTACAGGCTCAACTACAACACGAGAGCAAGAAATCGCCTCCAAAAACTTGGAATTGTATTGGCGTTCGAACTCTTCCTTCTTGATCATCTCATACAAGGGATCAGAAACTGCAACACGCGCCTGAACATACTCACGAAGTTGATAGCATGCATGTTGCACAAATCTACTGTTCGAGTTGTGAAGAAAACTCTCCAAATGATTCCTGTCACGGTCAATCAAATACCACACAATCCTTGCAGAAAAACGGAATTTCTTGAAGTTCATAGCAAAATGTGTATGATACTTCTCTGGATTCCTTTCTGCTTGTAAGGCGGCCTCTGAAGTCTTGTAGGCTGGGAGATTTGTGTCTGGATCCAAGATCATAAACTCTTCCCACAAGATCGAGTGGTCAAGAACCCACTTGGGAAGCACCTTGATGAAAAAGTCACAAACAAGTTCTGACACAAGGTGCATGACACGACCAATCTCTTCCTCCTGCTTGAAGCGATAGTGCAATTTGGCAAACAAGGGATTGTTGAATGCTTCCTCCACTGTGTTGCCAAAATTATCCCACTGAGGTTCTGGAATACCAAAGTTCCAACCCAGCAATTTGGGATCTCTGCACATATCCAAGAAGCTTGAAAGCTCTACAGAAGCAATGCCATGGTCTGTCAGAATTTCAGCCCAGCGGCGTCCATTCTCCCAAGCACGGATGAAGAAAAACTGTTGGTATCCAGTTTGTGCCAACTCCATCCACTGAGAAATTCCGGGTTCAAAACTCGGTGCATACGTCTTGGGGTCTTCCTCTGTTCCATAAACACTTGGACGTAGCAACTTGTATCTTCTACCAAAATATTCTCTCTGGTGCCTTGTCAACCTGTCCCAATCCCTCACGAGGATCACGTCTTCTCCAGTGCTCTGGAGTACACGTGTTCCTACACGATCATGGAGTGATACCATGCCAATGTCATATACCATCCATGGGTTGAGAACCAGGTTGTTGACATTCTGAATGAACCATGTCATCTCACGCTCAGCAACATGAGCAGAGTCATCTTCTTCATCTTGTTGAGGTTCTCCAGAAGTCCTGGCTGTTGAGCTCTTCGAAGTGATGTCCGTCCAAATGTGATCAAAACGAAGCACTTCCTCATCAGCCTTCACCAGTTTCGCCTGATCCTTGCTCAAAACTAATGGGTGAAACATAAACAAGGACCTTGAGGTAACACCATCTCCATCGACAATCAACTTTGGAGTACTATAGCCTAAGATACTCCAAGGATCACGATCATCGATTTCCTTAGGTGCAATCAAAGACCATCCTTGAAGATAATGGCCCTCTGACATCGACTGACGTGACCTCAATCGTGACCGATTGTACTCACGTTCAGGATGATTCTCATATTGGACAAAACGGGCGATAGCACCTAAATCCAAATTGTCCAACCACAAAAGCATATGCCTCTTAACTTGTTTTGTCTCAGGCTCTTCGGCATGAATCCTTCTGAGAAGTTCTCTGGCATATGGCTTGTCAATAGATAGTCTGGTGAACAAGGCTCGCACTCTCTCTTGTTGCACCTTCTCACTATTGATGAGCTCCATCATCTCCTTTGCGGACTTAGGATTTCTCAACTCCTTAGCTGGCTCTGGAGCATCTCGTGGTTGTGGTTCATCCACACTAATGTCCAAGTATTCGGGCTCCACATCACAATGTGCACGCACCACTCCATTGTTGCTGAAGTACAGAGGACGTCCAGCCCGAAGCCAAAGAATCACATTAAGCTTCACATACAAGGGCTGTCCATAATCTCTTGGAACCACTGTACCTGGGCCTAAAGGAATGTAAAGTGAAGTCTGTGGATTGCTGTACATAAAATGAACATAATCTCTTCCTTCACCTCTGTTCCTTCTATTCCAACTTTGAGGGTCTCTCATCAAACCATACCTCTCAATGCTGGCCCAGTTCTCCCTTCTGGTAACATGAAAAACATGTCCCAAACATCTTGCCTCAATAGAAGTCAATCTATGATTCAACTTCTCTGGACTGATGTTATGCATGAGTCCTGTATGCCCTTGGTTCACTCCCAAACGCATGGAGAAGGGCATATCGTATTGATTGCCTGTGTTATACCAAACATTCTTGTCCAAGCGAATCACCAAATGAAATCTTTGCTTCTCATCGCTATGCAATATAGCAAAGAAGGTATTAGGATAAATACGAAAAGGTGATGGCATTCGAGCAGTTCCCTCTGTGATCAGAGGCATAAGCTCTATCATTGCCCTACTGTCCATCAACCTGTCGAGAGAACGATCATGTCGTAGCATATAGTTGAGCCCCGTGGCTATCTTCCCATAATCGTTTTGTCTCCACGCGACTCTTGTTGCCACGAACTGCCTACTTCTCTCATATTCATCCTCTTCCTCTTGGGTGACATAGCCAAGAGCGTATCTGGCAATCTCTGCGAACCACCGTACTCGAAAATTGAACTTAGCATGGTTCTCAGGTGCCAAACACATTGCAAGAATGTCAGTTAAGATCAATTCATCCTGCTCTGAGTTCCTATGGAACTCAACTGGCGTACGTGGGCGTCTCAAACGGTTTGCCCAGTTCTGAGGTTGTCCCCAAGGAACCTTTTGTGACCAGTTTCGAGCATACTC